TGTCCGGCTGGTGACACCCTCCTGGGCTCCCCGTCTCTCCCCTGACCACCCCCCCACCCCGTCCAGCTGGTGACACCCTCCTGGGCTCCCCGTTTCTCCGCTGACTGCCCCCCCCATGCCTGTCCGGCTGGTGACACCCGCCCGGGCTCCCCGTCTCTCCCCTGACCCCCCCCCCACGTTCTCTCCCCCCCCAGGAGTGGTTCACGGTGTACGAGCACAACCGGCTGACGCGCTGCACCGTGTCTGACCTGGTGATGGGTAACGAGTACTCCTTCCGCGTGTACAGCCAGAACATCTGCGGGCTGAGTGAGGCGCCCGGCGTCTCCAAGAACACCGCCCTCATCCAGAAAACAGGTGCGCCCGGACGCCGGGGTCCCCCCATGCTCGGGGGGGGCGGGGGGGCTGGGAGCCGGGACTCCTGGGTTCGCTCCCCAGCTCTGGGAGGGGAGTGGGGGCTAGTGGTTAGAGCGGGGGGGCTTGGAGTGCAGATAGTGGGGGGAACGTAGGGTCGGGGGGGTTGCTACCTCTGGGCCTCACCCCCTGGCCTCCCCTAGGGATCATCTTTAAACCGCTGGATTACCAGGAGCACGACTTCCGGATGGCGCCCAGAGTCCTGACGCCCCTGGTCGATCGGACCGTGGTGGCTGGGTACAGCACGGCCCTGAACTGCGCAGTGCGGGGGCATCCCAAGGTAAGGGACCCCCACCCCCATCCCCAGGGCCCCCAAGGTATGTCCAGGCCTGTACTCCCACTGGAGGCCACAGGAGGGGGTGCTGGAGATGGGGGTGCAGGGGGCAGTTGGGGGATAGGAGGGGGTGTTGGAGGTGGGGGTGCAGGGGGTAGTTGGGGGACAGGAGAGGGTGCTGGAGGTGGGGGGTGCAGGGGAAAGGAGGGGGATAGGAGGGAGTGCTGGAGGTGGAGGGTGCAGGGGATAGGAGGGGGTGCTGGAGGTGGGGGTGCAGGGGGCAGTTGGGGGACAGGAAGGGGTATTGGAGGTGGGGGTGCAGGGGGCAGTTGGGGGACAGGAGAGGGTGCTGGAGGTGGGGGGTGCAGGGGAAAGGAGGGGGATAGGAGGGAGTGCTGGAGGTGGAGGGTGCAGGGGATAGGAGGGGGTGCTGGAGGTGGGGGGGCCGGGGGGCGCTGGGGGGCAGGGAGGGGGGGTGGAGGTGGGGGTGCAGGGGGCAGTTGGGGGACAGGAGAGGGTGCTGGAGGTGGGGGGTGCAGGGGAAA